TATTTTCATTTTTTTTTATTTTATTTTTTATTTCTTTCTCATTGATATATCTAGTCTTTTCCTTTGTTATCCATATATTTAGTCTCTGTTCTCCTTCGTTTTTCTCTCCTCTTTTCTCGCTCACTATATATGTACGTGTTTTCTATCATTTAAGATCAGATAATAAAAGATCGTGTGCAAGTACACACACACTTATAATTACAATTTTTAAAGAAAGAGAACAAGTTTAGCGTTGATCTAGAAACACGAACGCTAACAATTGGCCACTATAGACAAAACGAATATTCACAACAACAACAATTCATCTTTATTTTTTATTTTAATTCTAAAATTAATTGAAACATTAAAGAGCCTCTAAATAAAAAGAAGAGACTCGGGATTAATTGTATAAAAGCCTTGAAATATAGACTCGGGTGAAAAAATTTCTATTAAATATTGATTCAACTATCAGCTAAAACGATGTCTCTTCATGTTCATGAAGAATCAACTCAATAAAATAAGGGATTCTTTTCAGTAAACCGTTTCTAATATTTTCAAACATATAAAATTAGAATGCATTTTCTGGAAAGAATTCTTTTTTAACAAGTCTGATATATATATATATATAAACAAAACAAAAAAAAAAAAAGCAATGATCAACATAAACAGAAATCCTTATATAGCATTTCATCAGCTTTCGTTTATACAGACAAGAGTGGGTGTGGGTGTATTAGTCGATAGCCACATGCACCCACGCACACCCACATACCTCACACCCACACCCACCCTTTAGTGCTCTATCAAATTTTATTACTTTTAAATAATAAAATTTGAAAGAGCACTAAACGAAGGAAATCAATTCATAGGAAAGAAGAATGGTTAAACAATTTCGTTATTTGAAAGTTTCAACACCATATGCCATAGGCATAATTAGCATAACTTGTAGCGTGTCAGCCAATTCCTTAATTTCTTCACTTTGGATGAAGATTTGTCGAAATTCCTGCTCAGATACTTGCTTCCTATTACCAAAGGCTTTATACACACTGTCCTTAATTAGTTTGAGTTGACTATCGACATCATCCTGTTGATCATTGTTACTATCTTGTTGATCATTGTTCTTATTAGTGGTTATCATAAAGAACAGACGAAAAACATCAACAACCTCGTCAGGTGTAAGAAAATCATCCCAATTAGAATCACACAATTTGAAAAGACAATTCATTATTATTTCAGGAGTTTCCTTGTTCATTAATCCAATAGCCAATATATACTCATATAACTCAATCTTTCCTACAAAATTACAGAAAAATAGAGACTGTTTCGATTCATTTTCCTAATTATTCAAGTTAAATCAATTCTCCTATTATTTGAGAATATTCAATCTTGAAAAATTTCTTTGTATCTTTTATAAATCTACTCAATCTGAGCAGAGTCTTGTTGAATCGGCCGTCTTTGAAAAATGATTATTGAGCAGTGTTAAATTTTTGTTAGAATGTAGGGGAGATCGAATCCAAAAACAAAATACTATTTCAGAATAATATCTACAGATATTTCGAAATTCATCAACTTCCTTCTTGGCATAGGTTCTCTATGAATAGACAAATTTCTTCAATAATTGCCTCTCGAAAGTGCTTTTAACATAATTGCAAGTGTAAGACATATTAGGTATCGGTTAAAAAATGTCTGAGAAATTTCAGAGAATTCTATCTTATCATCAATCTGAATCTGTTTTTGTATTTGTGAACTTAATATTGAAAAGAATATCGATTGTTCACTATAATTCAATATCTTCAGTTCAATCTGAAAGCGACCAAATAAAAAACATATGAATTATCAATGAATTGATTTAACTGAAACATTGACAAAAACTTATTTTTCTCGGAGAAAAGTATATATTTTAATAAACGATAAAAAGAATAAAGTACAGACCCGATTTATCCCGATCGATTGTATTGAATATGATCTTGGCAAACTTGAGCATACTTTTATCAATGTTTGCGTATGGCATAAGCAGCATTTCTTGAAATTGTTCTTCTGTTATACCGTCGCTAGGAACTTTGTTTCGGAATTCTTCTGAAAACTAGTACAGTTTTCTCGTACATCTCTTTGAACAAAAAAAATTCACAGAATACATGACAGCACGAAATTTAATGGATTTAATCATTTGATTAGTTTTTTGCGAGATTTTGAGCATCAATTAAGAAAATACTCTGAACTATTTCTATTGAAATTTCTAAAAAAACTGTTTTCTATTGTTGTCTATATATGTATAATTCAGTCTCGCATTGCATTTTATCTATAAAATAAATATAAACACTGAACGAATACTGTAGAATTATGAATTAAAAAAGGCGTTCCTCTCAATCAATTACAATCTATATTATACTTTATTGAAATTCGATTAAAAGTTCCCATACGAAAATAAAAAGGGCAATCATTTTCTTCATTAATATTGATGCTTTTGGAGAAAAAATTTAAAATTAGAGATGCACAAAAAATAGTTTTGAATGTTATTGAGATAAAAAAAGATGATAATCTAAAATCGAGAAATGATCAATTAACTAACCATATAAAAAGAGAATTTTCCTTTTGCTCATGTTTGTCGTCAACATCAAACTGTCTATGTGAGTCTGCGTCAGTTCAAAATTGCTGTCAGTTTGTTGCGTTGTTTGAATCTTGAGGGCCATAACATACAATATTTCGAACACACTTTTGTCGGATATTGACTGACAACAATCACAACTAAGTTTAATTAATTTAATCAATGATACGTGTGAATGTCTTTCGTTTTTTTCATTTTTATGTTAGCATCCTTGTCATCTAAGAAAATTATATAAAATGAGAAAAATAACGTCACTTTATATTGGTAAGTAGAAATAAGAAGAAACGATCAACAAATTATTCGAGCTGCGAACTTACACATAATTACACATGTAGTATATACAGAAAATGACTGACGAGGGAGCATTCTCAACTGTCACATCGCTTTTAAGCTGAACGTATGCGCATTATGTAGACCCTCACGATCTATGAATTCTCTGAAAAAAGTTCGTGCTGCCAGCTTATTATTGCCGAGATACAGTGTTTTTACTGTATGTTTAAGAAAAAGAAAGCCGTACTCCCCCTCAGGAACATCGGAAAACTTAATTTCGAATTTTGTCTTGAAACTTTGCATAGATATAGGCATCAATGAGAATACTTTATTGTGAAAGTTTCAGCTCTTTTCGCTGTTCCTATCCTAAGATATAGCTATCGTAAAATTATTCATATACACCAGCAGATCCGATGTTCTTATCTCAGACTAGGAGCAAGCAAAAAATCTGAAACCTTCACAATAAACTATTCTCATTGAGGCTTGTCTACATTCAAAGTTTCAGGTGGAAACTCAAAAATCACTTTTCCTGATGTTCCTGAGGGGGACCACGGCTTTTTCCTTAAACATACAGTAAAAATGCTGTATCTCAGCAGTAAGAAGCTAGCAGCACGAACTTTTTTCAGGACATTCATAGGTCATTAGAGTCTACATAATGTCCATACGCTCGACTCAAAAGCGATGTGACAGCTGGGAACGTTCCCTCGTGAGTTGGCAGTTAGACATCGAATAATATCATCATAGTAAAAACAAAAATATTTTCACCTGAGAGAGAATAATAATTTGTTTCATTCTATCTTAATGTCATATCATTCATACATATTCAGACAATTACAAATGATAAAAATAAATGAAAAATAGTTTTTCATTCGAACATTTTCTTTTATATGATAAGATTTTTTCGGTTTTATTTTCCATTTTCCATATACATATTCTCAGTTTCTTTATCTTTTGGTAGATCGAAACAGATTTGATCTGTACAGTAGATGAGAGTATATCAATTAATTCCTAGTTTAAAAAAAATATTATATTGAAAAGATATAAAATATCTCTCTTACTTTGATTTCATATTTGACTTTTCTATTAAGAAAATTGAATTTCTTATTTCTATCTTCTTCACTATTATACCTCTAGGAATTCGTATGAACTCTCTTAGAATATACGTTTTTGACTCCATAAATTTCATTCTAGATTTCAGTATAAAGGATTCCTACAAATTATCCTCAGAATGAAAAAGAAAAATGATCGATACTTCTGCTAGTCTTTTTGACTTCTGCTTCCGAAGGCAGAAATCGATGAAGAGGTTTTGCTGATAAAAATCCAATTCTACTAGAAGTTCTTCTTAGGGTAGAAAGGAAAACGATTAATTTCTCTCATACTCCTTTTGGCTTCTCTTTATATTGGCAGAAATATTTTAACGATTTCCGCATCAGAGATCGGATCAGTTTAGTTCGAAGAAAACGAAAAACTATTTTATGTCTATTATTAACATTTTACTTTTGATTAATCTTGAATTGAGTCAAAGCTGTTGCATTAGATGAAATAAAAATACTGAGATTACTCCTTTAAAGACACGCTGAAAAATAACTATTTATCATTTAATCAAATATGATAATACTTGTTTTCGCTGTGCAAAACTGTCGATCTTATTTTCTCAAATGAGATGTTCTCGTCTGCATAAACTTTACACAGTTGGCAGCTGCTCACTTGCTTAGTTACTTCAAGCAAAGACAAGAAAGACGGTGATAAGTTTGCACAAAAAGTGTTGCTAAGATATCAGTTATGCCACAGTAGCTACTTTAATTTCTGCATTTAAAGATCCGATAACCTGACAATTTGTACTNCCAATCTGTGGGAATCTGGACATAAGGGTGCCTTCATTGCACTCAATTTATTTTGGTAATGTTTAACTGTAAACGAAGACAAAAATAAACAGGGTGATAGAGAATTCCAAGGGCTATCGAATGGTATAATTTGTTTTCCCAATAAGTCCTTTTCTAGTGTTAAAAGGGGTCAAATACTCACTGCAGCTTTCGCTTTCCAGGGGTATATATATATGTATGTATGCGTGTGTGTGGTCTTCAACAGCACGTCTTTTTTATATATTTAAATCAAAACACTCATAAAAATGTGTTTATGTTGTTTGTAGATGAAGAATAATCCACGTTCACCGTCAATATCGAAACAATCACCAATATGTATGCTTGATTCCGAGTCATTTACATATATTTTTATTTTCGTATTCTATTTAGTTAAAAATAAGGCCACAACAGCTGCTGTTCCACCACTTGGTCGAACGTACACCACCGTAAGTGTATTTTTTTCACGAAACCTAGACAGAGAGAAAACGAAAAGAAAAATTAACCCACGCATATACATGTATACATATATGTATGACGCGAAGGAATACAACCATAGGCGTAGACATCGAATAAAAATAAATAAATTTTAATTTAATTTTAATTTCTCATTTTGAAATCATTTAAATAAACGAAATAAATATAAATACATTTTATTTGAATTTTATTCTTTTACTGATTTAAAAAGTAACTTTGGTTTTTGAACTTTTTGTAGAAATAATGTTGTTAATGTAAAATAATGGAAAGTAATTTGAAAGGTTTTTAAGAACGATTGTTGATATTTTAGGTTTTTTTTAAATGACTTTCTATAAAAATCAATTTGAAATGTTGAAATTGAGAAAATGTAGTTATTTTGGGATATCTAAAATGCAGCATTGGAACAATCGATGTTTGGAAATGCTTTAACATTTTTAAAGTCGATTTTCTAGACAATACAATTTGAAAATATACAGTGTATGAGACAAACGAGAGAAACGTATATGCGTAGGAGAAAGAGAGAAAAGAAAGATGTTCGCCATCAAAATAGGTAGAGTTCTAATATGTATAAGTGTATTCGATAATGCATTACACTATAGAATTTATATTAAGTGGCATAAACGTTAACAGATAACTTTCGTATGATCCTCTTATCTTTGTTTCTTTGCTTTTCCTCTTTCTTTCTCTCCTTCCGAATCTTTTTCTCATGTTTCTTTCTAATATTTCATTAACTCTTATATCTTGTTTCCATAGCAACGGGCATATTGTATCTATATAAGAAATAAGCGCATAGGAACAGAGTCATTAAGTTCTTTTTAACTGTCACAATTGATAGAGAAGAAAGCAGTTATGTGCAAAGATCAACATATCTCAGATATTCAACAAAATGATGTGAGTATTATAAAATAAAACTTTCGATTTGTATTAAATAAAATGATTAAGTAGCTTTTTGGCTTGAGAAAATACTTCATTATTAAGAAAAAGAAATTCAAATCTAAGATGAAATTTATGTTTGTAATAGCGTTAATAAGTCCTTTTCGTTTGATTAAAAGCAAACCAATAGATCATCGATAAAAAAAAGATTTTTGGTTTTTTTTCTCATCATTCGTGTTCATTGTCCTCCTCGAGAATGATTACCTATAAGACATTAAAAATAGTAGTTGTATAGTGTATTATGTCGCCATATAGACCTATCATGGTCTTTTAATTATTGAAGAACTTGTTATTCTATTAGTTTTGCTATAAAGAAAAGTGGTTAATAGAGAAAATTGAGCTGTGTGGATAATATTTTTTATTATTTTGTTTACTGATAATATAGAAAATGTTTTTTTTAATCCTTATATTTCTATATGGATAATATAAAAATCAATTTTTATTGTGTTATCTTCATATATTGCCAATATAGAAAATGTTAAGACATTTAACGACACCTAATGTATTATTGTGCTTGCTGACTGGCATTAGATATTGATATGATGACTCATCATCTACTTGACTTTTTTAAAATAGACCTTTGCACCAGCACAAGATGAACAACACCAGCACCAACAACTAGAGAAACAACAAATGTTGAATATTATAGAAAAATTAGTCATAAGAATGGAACAAAACGATAAAAATCATATTAAATCAAACCAGAAGGTTAGTTTTATTTATTATTAAAATAATAATAATAAATTTAATTTTTTGTGAACTATGAAGATTTATTCTGAAGATGAAAGAAAATTAATAGTTCATGGTCTTCGTCAATATTATGTGAAATTGAATGAATATGAGAAAAATGCAAAATTAATTGATTTACTTAATAAAATAAAATTTAATCAAATAATTATTCTTGTGGAATCAGCACGACATTGTAAAGCATTATCTAAATTATTAGCTGAACAAAATATTCCTACTGTTGAAGTCCATCGTCGGATGTCTAAAGAAGAACGGTTCGTTATTTATTAACTTAAATACTTTAATAAAAAAAGAAATATTTTTGCTTTCTATTTAGTTTACAACGTTGTAAAGAATTTAAAGAATTTAAAAAACGTATTCTTGTTGCAACAGATTCAATTGCCTTTCGTATGGATTTTGTAGCAGTTAATATTGTATTTAACTATGATATTTCAGAAGATGCTGATACTTATCTTCATCGAGTATATTCGAAGAATTTTCCTTTTTCTTTATTATTAAATATTTCATTTTAGGTTATTGGTGCTGGTCGATTTGGTACAAAAGGTTTAGCAATAACATTTGTTGCAGATGAAACTGAGGCAGAAATTTTGAATGAAGTTCAAAGTCGTTTGGAAGTACAAATTGGTGAAATGCCCGATGAAATTGATGTAGTAACACACATCGAAAATCGGTAATTTTCTGGTCTTACTATTTGGTTCAAATGAAACATGTAAACTCTTTCTTTTTTCGTCACGATTATTGTCAATATTACATTTTGGTTCTTTTGGGGTGTGGGTGTGGGTGTGGGTGTGGGTGGGTGTCGGTGGGTGTGATGTGGGTTTGGGCTGTGGGTGCGTGAGAGTGTGGGTGGGCTTGTGGGTTTAGTTGGTGACATA